GATTTAACTCTTTATGCTGAAGTAATATACCAATTTTGAGATCAATATCTTATTAAATACGCGAGTAATTAAAAAAGAAAGTTTTGAATTTCCAACTTTGACACCCTGTATATCGATTATGAAGTGTTAAAATGGAAAATGGTATTTGGCAATTAAAATTGTTTTTGTTCAAGGAATAAATGGTTAATGGATTGACCTCCTTTTAGCGGACACCCTGTATAAATATCCATTTTTTTTATGTGCATAATTATATCTCAGAATATTCCTTTTCAACACATTTATTTTATTCCACTTTTGCCTATCTGGTACTTGGTATGCCATTATAGATATTGTCGCGAAAATAGTCATATCAACTTCATTAATGAGATTTCATTGGATGTAAATGCGAATTCTTACTTGAGTTCCACAACCAAGAATTTTCAAACTCTGAAAGTACGAAGTAAGTACAATTAAATTAGAATTGTTTGTCATTGTAAAACACACATCTTAACCACGAATAAACTGATAATAATAAAATGCATTCTTAGGGAGTTCGTGAAGGTTCACTTCACCCAAAATATCTCTATCAAACATGATAAGAGTTTATCTTTTACGGATACAGATTTATTCATTAGGTATTTCATTATGAAGAGAAATAAAAATTCATAATCTCTTAACCATAACAGAGCACAAAACAGATAATCTAATCTACTATAAGAATTTTGAAATATTGCGTTTTTTATGGAGTGGTGAAATACGATACAAACGCTATTGCCTATGAATAATTCATTAATGTCGCACGAAAATCAAGGTTGGATTCATTTGATTAAATAAAGTTCCTACATATTCTGCAAAAAAACGGCTACTGAAAATTAGTTTCCTAGTTTCAAAGCTCTCTGAATTATAATTCATATAATTTCCAAAATGTTTTTCTCAAGCTATTGAATGATTCATCAATGACCATGCAATGATAGAAATTTCAATTACGATTCCAATTTGGACAGGTTCTTTTTCATCTCTTGGAGCGCACTGAAGGATATTCCTATTATGTTCGAAGAACATTGTGCGTACCAAAAGAGGATAAGGAGAAATGATTGAAATGATTTTCGAACCTTTGGAGGTTATGAGTTCTATAGAAGAACGAGAGTTGGTAAAGTGTTGTTCGACATATCTCAAGATTGAAAACGAATGAATGCGCTGACTGGGCTTGTCGAGTTCGTCTGACTGGTATTGCTAGTGATGGAATGATGGGAGATATTCCTGAGGAACATTTCCCGTGAAAGAATCTATAGAAAAGTGAAAGGTCGTCGACATTTCTACGGTGTTCTAATTCTAAAACTGTCCGTATCTGTGCTTTGTAGATCATGAGGAGCTGTTGAGGTGTAAAGCGAGGAGTGTAAAGTAGATTTTCGCACGGAACAAAATTTCGAGTTTTTTTGAAGCAGCTATCGCGATGGATTGGACATGATTTTCCAATGATCATCTAATTTCATTTTTTGTTAACTGTCAACAGTCATTTCACGTCATTCCTTGTAGTGAGACGGAATGAAAAGTGGCAACCAGAATCGGAAAAGTTGCAAATAAAACGACACATATAATTGTTGTTTACAGATAGTTATTATTGTCCACTAAATTGGAGATTTGCTAGTATAGTTCCATTGCCTAAAGTGAACAACCCGAAAGATATTTCTGAATTGAGGCCATTAAGTAAGCTGTCTGTATTGTCCAAGGTGTTGGAAAAATTTATATATTTGCATATGGTACAGTTTTTGACGGACAATAAGTTATTTAGAGAGAACCAATGTGGTTTTAGGAGTGCTCATAGTACAGTTTACTGCATTGACCAAAATTACAACACTAGTTTCATTAGATTAGTAAGGTGTTTGACACTTTAGTCAGGAAAATTGTCTGCGGCCCTCGGGCATTTTCTATTTTTAATCTATATACCATTGATCTTGATAGGAACTCTGTGAATTGTACAATTGATCAGTTTGCTGATGACACCCTAGTTTATTAAAGTTTTCTTACTGATGAGTTGAATACTGTATGTGTAGATATAAATAAAACTTTGGAAAACAAATACTGTCTGTAGGTTAATCGAGGAGGTGGTATATTCATTTTACTTGATTCTTTGGGATTTTCTCTCCTCGTTTCTATAAAATAAAAATATCCGTATTATTTCAATATATTTTTAGTGGGGCAAATCAGATGATTTGCCCCAAAATGTCACTGCGTTTAACAAATTCTTCTATCAGGAAGTCTAAAAGAAAAATCCAGTAGCTTGTCAGTGACAATTTGTTTGAAAAATTGTTTGAAGGAAAGAAATATAGATATATTGAAAAAATATCGAATTTTTACTTATCTTTGGACGTTTCGGGACCGAATCTGCTCCCGTTCTCAACATATAAATGCAAAATATTTGTCTTCGAAAGTTTTGCTGCTTATAGTTTGACACTTTTCAGTGTCATACTGATGTTAGCATATGGATGAGTGATTTTAGTCTACAAATGAGTTACATCAGTATGACACTGAAAATTGTCAAACTATAAGCAGCAAAACTTTCGAAGACCAATATTTTGCTTTTATAAGTTGAGAACGGGAGCAGATTCGGTCCCGAAACGTCCAAAGATAAGTAAAAATTCGATAATTTTTCAATATATCTATATTTCTTTCCTTCAAACATTTTTTCAAACAAATTGTCACTGACAAGCTACTGGATTTTTCTGTTAGACTCCCTGATAGAAAAATTTGTTAAACGCAATGACATTTTGGGGCAAATCATTTGATTTGTCCCACTGAAAATATATTGAAATAATACGAAACTAGGAGAGAAAATCCCAAAGAATCAAGTAAAATTTAGAAAACAAGTTGAATACTCTAATAAGCATGGACTGATGATTAACCCCAAGAATACCCAAGCTATATGTTTTTGGTAATGTATCAGTAGAGGTGAAATCTGATTTAAAAATTGAAATTGCGACGGTTAGAGTAGAACCCTGTGATGACAGGGTTGAATGTAAGGATAGCCTTGGCTAAATTTAATTCTGAATAACGGCCTGATTTGACAATTTGTGTTGTAATAGGGTGTTTTATGTGTATTATTTCGTGACATATTTTTTATGTGCTCATCTATTTCTTGTCAGGTACTAAGTTCTAGGCCCTAGGGCAATCATTCAATTACCTATTGAGTCAATGTATTACTTTTAAAAACAGTATGATACTCATCAATGGATAATGGGATCCTGTACAAGCTCTCTGTTTCGTGGATCTGATTATGTGAAATAAATTAAAAAAAAAAACAGGTCGTCCAAATGAAGACGATTTATCATTATATTATTATTATGCAGTGAAAAGTCTAGGAATTTATATTGTTATTGACCTGAGATTCAAGGCACAGTTCAAATCTATTGTTGGTGTTACTCTTCATTGAAGAATCTATATTGCAGTAGATCTTTCATCAATGTAATCTTGAAAAAGCAACTACATGAATCACTAGTAATGACTAGTAGTCATACTAATTATGTTGATTTGGTTTATGGTCCAAGCTTGGATGCATATTCGTCGACGATAATTCAAAGAATTTATAATTCCTGTATCAGATTAATTTACTCACTCAGAACCAGAGACCACATTTACCATAAACTAAGTGAATTGGGGTGGCTTAATATGTTCAATAGGCATAAATTCCATATTACCTGCTTGGTTCACAAAGTATTGAAAGATAAAAAATTTACATTCATCATCGATTAACGTATACTTGGGAAATTCATAATCGTTTCACTAGAAATACAGGTTTTCTTGTGATGCCTAGGACTAGAACAGCATTATATTATGAGAGATACTTCTTCTGAAATATAGTCAAAATATACAATTCTCCCACAAGAGTTCAAGAATAAATCAATGTTTCACCTCAAAAAGTCCCCAAAATTATTTTTCTTTTGCTGAATAAACTTCAATTTAGAATTGATAATAATATAATTTTTATATTCATTAAATAAATTAGTTGATATTTAAGCTACTATGTAGGTAGTTATTTACTTCAAATATTTTAATATGGTACTCGGTTAGGTAAAATTGTTTTGCTGGTCTTCACAGAGGGTAATGAAAATAAAGCCCTTATTGTTATTATTATAATCTTCCTAGCAAAATACTCCTAAGAAAGAAAATGACCAGGGTTCAACCAGAAAAATTTGTGTCCTGCAATGACTTCGTCCTATCATTTTTTAAAGGTAAAGAAAATATCTAGAACCATGCTTTTGAACAGAACTGCGACATAGAAGAACCTGGACCAAGTAATTCAGAACTAGAGATCTGACATCAAAGAACTCCGCTATAGTACTCCATAATCTGAAATCCGTTCAAAATCAAAATTCAACGATCTCATGATTTTAGATGTTATACTCGATTGTTGCAATGTGAAAGTTATGAAAAATAATCTCATTGACAATTTAATTCATGTATAAAAAATCCCACAAGCCGCGTAATTTAGTCATAATGACAGCGAAAAAAGTTTGCTCTAACTTTTCCAGCGACAATAACGGAACCTAACTTTTGAAAGCATGACAACCAGCCATGAACAAATGTTTGATGGATTATTGTGTAATTATAAGTGACAATTTCCATTTCTCCGATGTTGATGACGTCGGGATATCAGAAGCAGATATCATGGCGTTGATCAGTCAACCAAGAAGCATCTCATCTTCCAGAAAATTGTTTGCCTTTGATAATATCAATTTCAACAGGAATAATTCTACATAGGTCCGGGTACCTATATTCCACATAGGTATCCATTATCATTAGGACTTTTTCAAATGAACGTCATAATGTGAAGTTTAAGTATTTTTCAGCATAGTCAATTCAACTTGACCAGCAATTGATGAACCAGCCCTTACTATTGAAACATACCAGTTTTCTCCCAATGATGGGGTGGCATTTGAGTGTTATTGTGCTGGTCCATTTATTTATGTTGGCTGAATAATTATTGCCAAGTAAATGACTTCAACATACCAATAATTTCTTACCTTGCACCAAGTAGAGGTAACTACAAAGTAGGCATTAACGTTCTCCTCTCCAAACTGTTCAGCTATATATAGGCCCAAAGATCCGTAATTATCGTATATATTCCGTTTGGTGGCGTCGCTCAATATGGAATGGGCCCTATTGACTTCTTTGAATTTGTCGGCTGCCTCTGGATTGTTGGGATTCTTATCGGGGTGGAATTTCAGCGCGAGACGTCGGTAAGTCTTTTTTATCTCTTCGCTGGTAGCTGTTTTCGGCAGCGCTAGAACTTCGTAGAGTGAATCGCCCTGTGTTCTAGTGAATAAAAACGCATCATTAGACTCTATTCAGGTTTATATGCAAAATGATGAAGAAGTGGCTGCTGAATCTGGTATTTATTTGATTATTTGTTGATAAATCCCATCTCTACCATGATTATTCTTGTGTTGAAAAGGAACATTCTCAGATATATTTATGAACAACAAAAAAGGGATATATATATAAAGAAATACATTGAGAATTCGCATTCTCCATGTGATGTGATAAAAATATCAATTCTCTCTCTGTTCATTCAACAGAAAACAACTACTTTCCTGGCTATATTCTTATTCTTAAGGCGGCTCAGTGGTCGAGAGCGTGAAGGCGCTGAGTTCGTATGGGGACTCCCACCGAGACATAGGTTCGAATCCTAGTTAGGCCATGGATGTTTGTGTTTGTATGTATACCTAACCCCGCACAAGTTTCGACTTATGGGGCGTTTGGTCCCAGTGCTGGAACCAACGAGGTATGCAATTGCAAAAAAAAAATTGGTAGCAGTATCTATATTTTCGCATGAAAACCCTTTTCGCATGAAATATGCCACGACGAATATTGAATTACATCTATTGAACACACATGATAAGAATTTGAAAACAAAATCTTCTGAAGTAAAGAATTTGCATTCTCCTTCATATAAAGATATGCATATAATATAATTCTGAATATTCAACAGAAAACAACTACTTTCCTGGCTATTTGCCACGTCGAACATTGAATTATATCTGTTGAATATCCAGAAAGAGAGCATGAAATATCAAAATCCTTTAAAATTGAGAATCAACATCATCTCTCAAATCGAATAGAATTATATGATGTCTTATGATATAAAAATATTACTCATAGACCTCAATCACAGATTCGTGATAAGGTTTTTCTCAATTCAGAATTTTTTTCCACGTCCTGTATGATGAATGTCAATTTATCATACATTTAAAATATTATTCTTTTGCTTTTTTTTTTCAGAAGAAAATCGATCCTGATCAAGAAGGCCAGAATAAGGAGTTTGTGAGGAAGACCAGAATCAGGACAATCAGAATCAGAATGACCAGGATCAAGAGGACCAGAAACAGGAATACCAAAATATTTTTCAAGAAGTGAAATAATTTGTGATCATGATTATGGCAATATTTTCAATGAGGATAATACCTATACAAATCCAACAATACCAGAAAGACACATGGAAAAGGATGATCATATTGTCACACCTGTGACTAGTGCTCGGTCTAGGGCGTAGCTTTAGGGGTAGTTTTATGCATTCATGACTTGGAAATAACGGGACAATTACAGGGTAGAAAGGTGTCAAACCACGACCTCATCGTTGGGCTCGGCAAGTACGACTGTCCCTCTGATTGATTTCCCTATTCCTCAGGTTGAATATAATTATTGATGATCAATGCAGTATCAGCAAGCAAGTACAATGCCCGCAGGGAATGAACTCGCCTAGCTGAGACTGCATATCGGAAATGGAAGCGAAATATGAATTTAACAAATAATATCTATTGTGTTGAATAAAATGATTTTAGGAATTGATTTAATATTTGGTTTGTGAAATCAATCAGCTGTATGTACTTTTTTTTCTCATATAGGATATGGAGAGAATATATGGAGGTGGAAAAAGAAGATGTGGAGAAAGAAAATGTGTCACAAAAGAAAAGTAAAATGACCAGGAAGAGGAAATACAAATTCAATAAAGTGTGGTTGTATATAGCTGAATTCAAGGGTTGGCTTATAATATCTACTAAATTATCATGTGGATACAAATTTTGAATTTGCATATTGTCGTCTGTGCGATAAAGAATGTTTCCACATTATAGACATTATAAATATGAGAAACATAAGGCAAATGGTAGAAAAATAAGTGGATGCAAACCAATTGACCAAATTATGCAAACCAAATCAAATTCGGTCAAATCTGCAGAGTTGAAATTAGTTGGGTTACTTGTAAAGCTAGATCTAGTGACCATTGTAGACCTCTTTTCATTCATTGTCAAATTTTGAAACTCACGTGCCTATTCATCTTGGAAACTGTTTGTTTGATTCACAAAAATCAGCCTCTAATTGAAGGAATCTCTTTGGATCTAAATATATATACTAGGAATAAAAATGATATGAAACTACCAATACCAAAGACAACGCTCCCCAAAAATTCTGTGATTTACGAAAGCAAAATAATTTATGATCATCTGCCACAGCATTTTGAAGCAATTAAGAATTTGAAAAAAATTCTGAAAAAGTGTTGCGGATTTTCTCTTACCAAGAGCATATTATCACCTACAGGAATATTACGATGAGAGATTCTAGGTTGCGACTCATATATAGGTATTTCAGCAAGATTATTATGATTTTACTACTTTTTTTTAATGGTGTTTGTTCAAATTTACATAATGTACCTATTTGTATTTTTTCGTATGTTTTTACAATGTTGACTTCATTTGTTTTTATATATGTATACATATTATTATAGTTCTTCCTTCTGGACACAGTGGAAATCCACTAGAGTAATTTTAAACCATGCTTTGTCAATAAGAAATATTATTCTTGGATAATAAAGCACAGTATTGATTGATTGATTGATTGATACTTGCAACGAATAATTTGGCATTTGTTTTAACGGACACACTTGTTCCATTATGTGCAGGTATTTTTTCTGATTCATATATTGCAACAAAAGCATGGCATTGAAGAGAACAGAAGCCACTGCAATTTTGACAAAGAGTCTTGCAACGAATTCAGGATGAACTTTATGACAAAATTCGAAGTCCAGGATGTTTTTTTCCTTAATAATGGATGAAACCACAGATGTTTCTGCAATGAAACAATGTGCATTCACCATAATGTTTTATGCCTCAAACAACAAAGTCAGTACAAGGTTTTTTGACATGGTTGCATGTGGTAATGGTGATGCAGTAAGCCTTTATAATAGTTTAACCCTATACTGCGCATTGTAGCAAATCTGCTACATCACATTTTCCTTAGAAATAATTCGACTTTGGCTCGCAAAAATTCGCCACTGCGCTCAGTAGCAGATATGATACACCCTAAAGTACGATTCAATAAAGTCGTGAATAGCCAACGACTTTCTTTAGCGCGTAAACTCTGTTAGTTGACTGTCGCCTTCACATGCATGTGGGCAACGTATGATAGGTCTCTGGATTTTTGTTGTTTCTTATTAGTATTTAGTGAAATGAATATATTTGATTGCATTCATGCCCTGGTGATTCATTTTTAGCAAAGTTCCACAGATTTTGTGGTAGTATCATATCTGATACATTGCGTAATTTTTTAGGATGATTATCAATAACAAAACAGCATTATCTGAACGTGACTTGGAAGAGATTGCTGCGAACTTTTGGAATAGTGACGACGACTTTGACATCAGCGAGTCTGAAGAATGTCAAGATAGTGAATTGCTGGATGAAAATCCCAACAATTCAGACACTTCATGAAAATCATCCATTTTCTCAAAGTGGTCCACAGTATTTCCAAGAAGAAAAAATGTAAAATGTTAGTTACTACTATTATATGAAGTGTGGTCGACCGACTTTGAGCCCCTAGTTTTTTCTTCTTGAATTCAGACACTGATGATATTGAAATCAAGAATCTACCTGTAGAATTTGAGGATGGAGTTATTGTCACTAAGGACAATCAGGATTCTGAACAGAAGCTATTTCAGTGAACACTATAGTCAATTCTGGGTCAATAACTCTGCGGAGTAAGAAAGTAGTGTGGAAGAAAAAACCTAAATAAGGCCTGTAGGGGGACTACAAACTTTCCTAATGCGTATTTTTTCGAAGATACTTTAGTCGAAAAAACTTTATCTGAATCCAACATGTATACAACCCAAGAAGATCCTCCGGACTAGCTCATGTTGATATAAACCAATACCAAGGTATTTGCCTATATATGTCTCTGTGGAACATGATCGCCTCCATAAGTTACGTCCCAATGTTGATCACCTGAATAATAAATTCCAAAACATACAATGATTGTCCAAATTTGGTTCAAGATTCATTATTATTATTATTATTAAAATAACATTTTTCTGAGTTGAAAACCAGGCACTATGATTGTGCGTGTTCTAATTGAAAGGACCAAACCGCATTTGCCGGGCATTTTACTTCCAGACGGCGTAAAAAAAAATCGAAGTGTTGTGCAACTGTTTTTTACTGAAAGATGTTCCCTGAAGGTGAGTCAATCATCAACATCGACCCCATTTGATATTGTGAATGATTCTATGCATTGAATGACTAATGGAAGCATGATTAAACATGTGTTTCACAGTGACTGTCTCAAAAACTTTTTTCGAGGTTAGATTTTACGACATATTTGTGTACCATCACATTTGTGTGCTCCGGGAGCGTACCGCTACGGATCAATAATTATTATTGACTTGAACATTTCAGTGTTTCGAAATTGTTTGTTGTTTTCAGATAAATATCACAAGATTGATATCGCAGAATTGCAAAAAGATCCAGATAAAATCTACGATTTATTGGATCAGATGAACAGGTGGGAGAGACAGAGGAAATGGATGTCGATGAAGATGAAGAATCATCAAACGAGAATGAAGAATCAGATGAAGAGGATAATATTCCTTTGAGCCACTTTTTGACTTGGCAAAAATCACGATTCATTTCTAAATCATTTCCAGACGATGCGATTGGGGAAGATGAATCTGTGGAAGTTTTATCTCCCATGGAATATTTGAAAAAATATTTGCCAGACGAGCTTTTCGAAATTGGCGCTTTCAACACTGCTCTTTATTATTTACAACAACACAACAGAGAAATGAAGCCGATGGTTACTTCCGAAGAAATAAAAATATTCTTCGGAATGCATGCACTCATGGGTTGCATCAAATTTCCAAGATTGCACATGTACTGGAGTACTAAGTTCAAATTTTCGATGATTGCTAACGCTATGACAAGAGACAGGTTTTATTTGCTGAGGGTCCACTTTCACGTTGTCAATTGTTTGACTATCACCGAGGAAGAGAA